ACTCCCTTTTAACAAAATTTTCATCATTTCACAAATGATTTCACAAAAATGGTTAAAATTTTCAATCATTTGTGAAATGATTGAAAATTTTGTTAAAAATGGAGGCCCTAACCCTAACCCTGTTAACCACTCCATAAGCCATTGATATTTGACTAGTAATGATCTAAAAAACTTACCTAAGAATTAACTTGTATTAAATTACTTACCAAAGAATTAACTTGTATTGAATTATTTTCAATTTGATATAAATAAATAATCAAGCGCTAGATAATTCAAAATGGGCTGAGTCAATTTATTAAAAGTATATATTTGTGAAATGATTGAAAATTTTGTTAAAAAGGGAGGCCCTAACCCTAACCCTGAGTTTATTTATTAAAAGTACATTATGATTGTTTGTAAACCTAAACATGGATGATTCGATAGGAGTACCTATCTCACGTTTTACCACAAACATGGACGATACCATAGAAGTACCTATCTCCCGTTTTACCCATTAGCAAATGTTCAGTTTTAAAGCTATAAGAAAAAATAGAAAGTGTAGAAAATTAAATTTTTTATGAAATAATAGATAATTTTAAGTCTCTATTGCTATTCTATACTATATATAATATATATACATATAAATATATATACATACTATAGTAACTAGTAATAGTACAATAATATGAGTTTTAGTAATAATTGTGAGTTGATTAGTGTCAGGGTTAGGATTTCCCTGCTTTAGAAAAGTGCCTTCTTCATAATATGTTAATTATAACTTTATAATATATATCATAAAATAAATAAATATAAAAGAAATAAAATTAAATGTAACAACGATGTAGACATACCAGCAGTTTCCCGAATTTTCGTAACATCCTGACACAAGTGACTTTCCTTAGTAACATTTACCGATTTAGAGGAAACCCTTAATAATAGGCGACACAACCCTCCCATGTCTGAAAAGTTTAATGAAAATAAGGACGATGCTGTACTTACCTACATAGATAACTTGGGACTAAAATATGGCAGCCATAACAAATATATGCGGAGTGAGATATGGCTGTAAAAAAAAAGAAAGTTTCGATGATACACGCGAAGAGCGTGCACATTATAAGTATGCAACAGGCATGTTATAAGTAGAATGTTTCTTAGTGTATATATATATATATATGTATATGAATATATATACATATTAATATATATATACATATATGTTGGTAATAGACCATAATTTTTACAATATTCTATAAATTCTACCGAATGTTTGGCGTTAATATGTTTGTAGTTCGTTTTTTCAATTTTTATCACTAAAGTTTATTTTGAATTTTAATAAACTAAACGTTCACAAAAAACTTTAGTGAGAAAAATTGAAAAACGAAGTCAATCCCTTTAAAAATTGAAGACAGAAAAAAAACTGCATTCGTTACTCAAAAAAATCATTTCCAATGGACCTGCTTACCATTTGGTTTAAAAACATCTCCAGCAATTTTTCAGAGAGTATTGAGTAGTATCATTAGGAAACACGGACTATCAAACTTCACTGTAAATTACGTAGATGATATTTTAATATTTTCTGAATCATTTACAGAACATATTAGACACTTATCCTTGCTATTGGATGCGATTCTGAAAGAAAGATTCAGATAAAAATTTTCTAAATGTAACTTTGCCCAAGGCTCAGTTAAATATTTGGGTCATATAATAAAAAATAACACAGTAACTCCATTGAAAGATAATTTAATTGCAATAAAAAATTTTCCTGTTCCCAAAACACGGGAAAATGTTCGACAGTTCTTGGGTAAAATTAATTTTTATGGAAAATATGTAGCTAATTTATCAATTATATTAGAGCCACTGCATAAATTGTTAAGAAAAGATGAACAGTTTATTTGGTCGAAAAAATGTCAAGAGTCATTTGATAAAATAAAAAATCTACTTTGTAAGAGCCCCATTTTAAATATCTTTGATCCAGACAAACCAATATACATTTATACAGACGCTAGTATACAGAGTATAGGTGCTGTCCTGAAGCAACAACAATATAATGCAGAAGAAAAGCCTTGTGCATATTTCTCAAGGAAATTAAATGATAGAGAAAAAAATAAAAAAGCCATTCATTTGGAGTGCTTAGCTATAAAAGAAGCAGTAAAATATTGGCAACATTGGCTCATGAGAAAAAAATTCACGGTTTTCTCTGATCATAAATCCTTAGAAAAATTGAATATTAAAGCTAGACCAGATAAAGAACTAGGTGATCTCACGTATTATTTGTCACAATTTGATTTTGAAGTAAAATATTCACCAGGAAAATATAATTTAGAAGCAGACAGTTTGAGTAGAAATCCTGTATTGAAATCATATGAAAACCAAAAAAATATTTTGAAGGTTGTAAATTTTATTACACTTGAAGACATTCAAAAGGACCAAAAAATAAACGAAGACATAAAACAACACCAAAATCGACTATCATCTATCATTAAAAGACACAGTATTACAAAAAGGTGGGAAAAACGGAAAAGATTTTACTGACTGAGGAATTTAGTATAAAAATTATAGAAAACACGCACATTTTATATGGTCACATAGGAATACAACAAATGAAAAAAAACCCTTGTATATAGCAAAAAATATAACACAAAATATAAAAAAATTTTGCGAAACTTGTGAAATCTGCATAAAAAATAAATCCTGATCTAAATATAAATTTGGATTAATGTCCCATCTAGGCCCCTCTACAAAACTTTTTGAAATCATGTCAATTGATACCATTGGAGGACTTGGTGGCTCACGTTCAACTAAAACATATTTGCATCTTCTGGTAGACCACTTAACAAGATATGCATATATTTTGACTTCAAAAACTAAAAGTTCAAGCGATTTTATAAAACTTGTCAATACAGTATCATCAGAAAATAAAATAGGTCTCATTCTATCGGATCAATATCCGAGTATAAACTCAAAGGAATTTAAAAATTTTCTGGATGAAAAAATATAACTATATAACTATAACTACTGCAGTGAATGCGCTCTTTTCAAATGGGCTCAATGAGAGATTAAATCAAACATTAATCAATAAAATAAGGTGCAAGATTAATGAGAAGAAAAACAAATTAGCCTGGACAACTATTGCTCAGGATTGTACAAAAAAATATAATGAAACGGAACACTCTGTGACAGTTTTTTTGGCAAAATATATATTGGAAGGAAAAATTGATAATATTTTACCAGAGGAATTAAAAAAAAAACATGATATATAATGATTTATTGAAAGATAGAACAATAGCATTGGAAAGAACTATAAAATCACACAATTATAATAAAAAAAATTTGATATAAAAAGGAAAACGTACGAAATAAAAATAGGAAAATTGGTATATGTTGAAAACGGAAATTCATTAAATAGAAAAAAGCTAGAGGAATTAAAAATTGGTCCCTACCAGGTTTTGGAAAAATTGTCAAACTCAATTTATAGAATCAATACAGGACACAAAAAGTTTGAATCCAATCTTTTCCACATTACAAAACTTGTTCCTTTGCCGGATGAATCTAAGTTTTCTTTTAAGGGGGAGATGTAATGAAGGATTTCCACTTCATTATGAATTGAGTTATGGTGTACAACGTAATTGTGTAAATTGTAAAACGTTTGACAGATTAAATTTAAGTTTTTGTTTGAGTTGAAATTGTTTGGATATTTTGAATATTTCTTCTAGCTCTTAGTTAATATTGGTTATTATATATAATAGCTTTAATTGTTGTTTCTTTTTTTCAGGTACGACATTTACTTAATTAAAGCTAAATTGATTTAATTAATTTATTATTAATAAAATTGTTTCTCTTTTTCAGAGCAACACAATTTAGTTGTTATATGCCGAACTCTATTATATATATATATATATATATATATATATATATATATATATATATATATATATATATATATATAAACGACATATTGTGAACGATATTACAACTAATTTAAACAATATATATATATATATATATATATATATATATATATATATATATATATATATATATATATATATATATATATATATATATAATGGGCGTGTTTNCAAAGCGCCTCCATTTCAAGCGATCATAAGCATGGCTCCAGGCGGACTAAGGACCGGTTGATGAAGGACAGGTTTTTCTTTACTGAGCAGATCTATGACTGTCTTGAACGGCCACGCGGTCGAGTCTATGACAGTTTTTAAAGCCCGGTAATGATCCTCCATGACTGGCACGAGCTATGTGACCAAATAAATTTAGACGACGCTTGAACAGGAGTGAGGAAACGGAGGGCTGCTCTGTTCTTCTCCTCACCTCAACATTGGTGACGCGATCGCGGTAAGTTGGACAACGGATCCTGCGCAAGCACCAATGATTTGTAGCGTCTAGCCTTTTCAAATGAGCGCCAGTAGTTGACCACGCCTCGCATCCATCTTCGCACGGGGATGACGTATGCGTTATACAATCAAACTTTGGTCGTCACAGAATCGCCCGAGTGCTATATACCACGATTCAAAAACCTCATACACGCGCGGACAATGATGATTTGAATATCCTGTCTATGGTAGACCTACCAGGCGTGAAGCCATTTTGTTCTCAAGGCGCCGAGACAGCAAAAGAAGACGGATGCGATCAAGAAGGATGCTGGCAAACACCTTGCTTGGAACTGACAACAGTGGTGCCTGTGTAGTTTTTACATTCACGGCGCAATCCTTTACCCTAGTAAAACAGAATGATGATACCTTTTCTTCAATTATCCGGGACCGCACCGGACTGCCACACCCGACAGAGTGCAGCCAACTAGCACACAAAGGTCCACCTGATTTATGCATTTCCGGATGAATGTTAAAAAATGGCCCGGTACCTTGCCGCTCTTTAGCGTTCCTATAGCTGCGACAATTTTAGCTACGGAAGGAGGTTCTGTGTCAATCCCGGAGTTTGGGAAAGTGAATTTAGCAAAATCCAGCAATTTCTGCGAAGGCACCAACATTGGGCGGTTGAGCTACTGGCTAAAGTGTTCTCGCCATCTCTCTAGCTTTCCGCTTCCGTCACTAATCAACTGGCCAGTATCACTGAGAATAGGGCTAAAGACAATCCAATCTAAGTTTCCGGAAATGACCAAAAGCGTCCTTTCTGCAAGGCTACTTTACCATCCGCCACCAACTTGTCCGCTCAAGCCCGACAATTCCTACGCAGCTGTTTCTTGCACTCCCCACGTAGAGAGCAGGCGACTTCCTTCATGCCACTAAGTCTAGCCTGCCGTTTCGTTTCGATCAGTCGCCTTGCTGCGGTTGAGATCTTTTCATGACGCATAGGAACAGCACAACAAAAAACCTTATCAGTCATCTTGGTCATTGCATCACAAAATGAATTCTCTAACTCGGCCGCGTTTGTTGCGGCAGTGACGTTATCGCGCAGAAAACGGATATTAAATCTAGGGAAAGGTCTAGTTTTAACCACAGTGCCCTTAAAGAAGATGGCGAAAGGGGCCACCACCTGGGAATGATCAGTATCAAACTCCATGTTACGATACACACGGCAGTTACAAACCGCCCGCCACCAGCCATTTACCAGGATATGGTCAACCTCCTTAGCCGTAAGGCCGTCATTTGAGTGCCACGTCAGTCTATGGATATCTTTACGGCGAAACCAAGATCCGCAGACCCTAAGTCTTGCGGACGCACAGAATTCCAAAAAACGATCCGAGTTGTCGTTTGGTGACCCGCTACCAAAGGGGCCAACTACCGCGTTAAAGTCGCCCAGGCAAATGATGAGCTTGTGAAACAAAACGAGTCCTTTGGTTCGCTGTAAAAGAGATCTTTGGTCTCAGCCGTCGCATCATTAGCATACAATCACTGACATAGCACCATATCGTTGTCTGAAACGAGCAACCATCAGCCTTTTACTGATCGGGTGCCATTCAATCAATGCACAATTAGTCTGATTGCTCAGGGCCAAGGCAACACCATATTGAAATCAGTAACACGCAGTTCACCAGCGCCTTGCCATCGAACTTTCTGCAGGCCCATAATGCATATACCGTATCGCGACAATTCGTCCACGAGGATCCTTGCGCCACCCGTTGCGCAAAGTGAGCGAATGTTCCAAGAGCCGATCCTGGTGGTGTTTTGCAGATTAAGCGTGTTGGCCCCAGCACGGGGCCGTAAAAAAGGGTCATAAATAGGGTTGTTCGTCGTAGTCCGCTTATTACAGCCGGCCGACAATAACCAAGACTGCGCGCTCCTTGTTAACTTGCGCGACGAGCGATGCGGTATGAGGTATTTTTGAAATGACTCCATGTGAACAATACTTTAGCTGTATTTGTCCCCAGTTCTTCGCAAGACAAACGTGGGTAGGTAGCAAGTCGAGTAAAGGTTGAAGCAACCATATCTTTTTAAAGACGCACTACCACGCTTGATTTTCTGTTAGGGATTACTCCCTTAACCTTTTCCTAAAAAGGGTATAGCCACAAGGCAGTGGAGGTTTGAAATCAGAGTTTACTTTTCCTAGATAAGTGGGTATCGAATCCCATCAATACAAAACGACTAGTTCTGAGGCGCTAGCTATCCGTCTTCACCCCTTCTCCTGTTAGTTTAAACAGTTTTTTCACGAGAAGGCCAGGAGTTTGACTATGACTGTCAGTGTTTTTATATCTATTTTGGCATCCCTTACGCTCGAGCGCTAGGGGCGGCGGCACTTTTGCTCTCCTTTCGGTACACCACTTTTTTTAGTATCAAATGAATTAAAAAAATGTGTTTCGATTAAAACTAAAAATATATTTTTATATTGGTATTAGGTTTCCCATTAAGAAAAAAATGTTTTTTTTTAAATTTTTCATTAAAGAATAATAAATGACAAAAATGTATGAAGTGCCGATCGGCATCTTCATGCACAACACAACCAATTGATTGCATTTTTATAGGTATAAATGATTTACAAGATTACAACGGAGATTATCGTTGTGTAAATGCCATTACGAAACCAGACAGATATCCAATTCTAAATATTCACAGCATCTCAACTAAACTACATTGCAAAAAGATATTTTCAAAATTGGACTTATTAAAAGCCTGATACCAGATACCAGTACATGAAAACGATATTGAAAACACAGCTGTAATAACACTTTTTGGACTCTTTGAGTACATGTTTATGCCTTTTGGTTTGCGAAATGCAGGATGTACATTCCAAAGATTCATGGATAATATCTTCCTAGGTACTGACTGTGTTATTGTTTATCTAGACAACATTCTCATATTTTCAGAAAGCACTAAACAACATGAAAAAGATTTAGAAACGGTATTTCAAATCTTTAGCGAAAATAATTTGAGAATCTCCATAGAAAAGTGCAAATTTTTCAAAGAAAATCTAAATTACTTAGGATTCAACATCAGCGGTGAAGGACTATTTCTTATAAAAAAATTAACGAAATTGAAGAAGTTCCAGTTCCAAATGATACTAAATCTCTACGTAGATTTTTAGGAATGATTGGTTTCTATCACAAACTCATTTCACAATTTGCAGATATTGTATTTCTTTTAACAGAACTAATAAAATTGCATCTAAACTCAAAAACAATAGTGTTTAATAACGAAGAATTGGAAACTTTCAAAACCATCAAATCTAAACTTGCCAACGTAACAACACTTCCATATCCAGATTCAAAATGTACAACCACTTAGTTACTGACATTTCTGCTTACGCCATAGGTGCGGCACTGCATCAAGTAATTGATTCAACCTCCTGTACCAATCGGTTTCTACTCTATAAAGTTAACTGAACCACAACGTAACCTTTCTACATTCGACATAGAACTACTAGCAGCGTATCTTACCGTCATCCATTTGAAACATCAGATTGAAGGAAGAAATGTAACTTTATTTACAGATCACAAACTATTATATGCGTCGCCTACAAAAAAAAACACCATAAAAGTCAGACGTTCAAAAACGATATCTTTCAATGATATCCGAATACATTGCAGACGTCATTTATATCCGCAGTGAAGAAAACGTTGTTGCAGATTGTTTCTCTCGGCCAGCAAATGCTGTAATGATGAACGTCTGTGACTTGTCGTCGATAGCCGAGCAACAAGAAATTGATGATGGAATAAAATCATTCAAGGATCAGTTGAAACAATATCCAATTGGCCATAACAAAAAAATAGTTTGTGATATGTCAACACCATACCCCAGACCATACATCCACAGTTAATTTGAGAAAAGCCATATTTGACAGTCTTCATAATCTCTCACATCCAGAACATCAATACGATTAATCAAATCAAGATATTTTTGGCCAGATATAGACAAACGAATAAGAATATGGTCAAAAGAGTGTTTAAGCTGTCAACAAAACAAAATTCACCGACACACGAAATCTACAATATCATCATTCAATTTACTGTCTGCTCGTTTTGAGACTGTTCATATTGATATTGTAGGTCCGTTACTCCCATTCAAGCAAGGAAATGAAACCTATTCAAGTTCATTCAGATATTTACTCACATGCATTGACAGAACAACTGGTTGAATCAAAGCAGCTCTAATGACAGAAATATCAGCTTCAACTGTTGCTACAACTTTCTTGAACATTTGGATCGCTCGATTCGGTGTTCCCCCTTTATGTTGTAACAGACCGAGGTAAACAATTTGAGAGCGAATTATTTAACGAAATATCAAAAATAATTGAATTTTACCGTCTGCGTACAACAAGTTATCATCCACAAGCCAATGGAAAAATAGAACGTCAACATCGTACCTTGAAAACAGCAATTAGTAGTCGTAAACAAAGCTGGTTAGATGCATTAGCTGTTGTTCTTTTAGGACTTAGAAACATATCAGATGAAAATAGAATATCCCCAGCAATAGCAGTAACAGGAACCAACTTGTTACTACCAAGCCGATTTTTATTCCTAGATTCAAATGAAGATATAATATCTAGTCAAATCAAACAACTAGTAAAAAAAATGTTTAAACTTAATGACCACCTAACAACTAACAATCAACATCACTCTACCCCAAAAGCTTACGTACCAAATAAACTTTCAAACAGTAGTCACGTATGGTTAAGAGTAGATCGAGTACGTCGTCCACTGGAAGCACCATATACAGGCCTTTCAAAGTGATTGAACGTAACGACAAACACTTTACAATTGAATTGTTACCAGGAAATTTTCAAAATGCGTCAATTGATCGATTAAAGCCAGCTTGTTTATCATTACCTCCAACAACCAAAGCCAGAATAAACAACGAGAATAGTTCTACAACAAACAACAATCTTTCTACAACTGATAAAACAAAACCAGCAACATCAGACACAAAATCTATTAAAACACCAGAAACAACAACAACAACATCAGGCGCAACAACAACACAAGAAACAAGGCCGACTTCAACCCCATCGGAACCAACAATCCAACACTCCAGAAAACAGAAAAGGGAGACGAATAACATTCAACAAACGAAATGAATATTTTTATTTTTAAACGGCTCCGCCTTTTATGAGGGAGTGTTGTAGGGGTCAAACATTCATTTATTAACTATTTTATATATTAATCATTATTAATGATTATTGCAATTTTCAATGTTACCTAATCTATGTTAATTTTTCCTTCTCTCTCTTTTTCCTGAGAGCTTGTAAACAAGACGGTTGGAGATTCAAGTTAGAATAAAGTTAACATTTTTTTATGCCGAAATTATGTTTGTTTTGTTTATTTTACTTCAAGGTGTCTTGTTAGTAGCAGAACGTTCGTACTAAAACACTATTGCCATTGAGGCATAAACCTTTGTTTGTTGATTTGGTGTAGACTGAGGTTTTAAATTCATTTTGCACATTTTGTATTAGTACGTCTAGGAATGGTAGTTTATTGTCAGTTGATTTTTCCATTGTAAACTTTAATTTTGACGAGTTTAGTCGTTGTAGAAGTTTTGCTATTTGATCATCGTCTTTATTTGTAACAAATATATCGTCAACACATGGCAGTATATATTAGGTTTTAGCTCTGGTTTTTCTTTGAATAACATTTTTTTGATAAGTTCAACATAAAAGTATGCTGATTGTGTCTTCTACAGGAACATTTTTAAAGAGTGACTCCACATCCAAAGATGTTATTTTGGTGTTAATGGATAGTTTTGTTGTAGACAATAAATCTATGAATTCCCTAATTGATTTCAAATTATAGCTGTTAGGGGTGTAAGGTGTAATTTTTTGCTGTAAATTTCTGCAATAGGATAAATGATCGTAGGTCTTTGGGTAATTATTGGTCGTTGAGAGTTGTTAGCCTTATGCGTCTTGACCGTACCGTGTGCATATCCTGGTTCATATTCATCCGTGAGTATGGGTATTTTCCCTTCTGTTTTGTCATTGATTCTTCTAATGATCTCACTCAACTTTGTCTTGAGTTTAGCAATTAGATCAATGCAAATCTTAATAAATTTGTCAGCGTCACCAAGAATGCCATTAAGTTTATCATTATAATCATCTTTATCTATAACGGCATACATTGGGGTTTTGTCAGCTTTTCGGATGATGTCATTGTTATTTTTTAAAGTTGCTGCATCATCGATCAATTCCTTCGTGGACACCCTGCTTTTAAAATTACCTCTCAACTTTTTACTTGCAGCTTTTAGGTCGTTAATAATGACTGTGTTGAGTGTTATAACTTTTTGACTTTCTAATCTGATTAAGTCGTCCATTAATTTTTTAATTTCAATTTCTTTTTCAGATTCTTAGGTTTCCTCATGTAATGACAATTGAGTTCAAAAAATGTAAGACCTATGAATATAGACCATTTTATTAATTTAAGTAAATATCAGCCGACAATCGCTGACAACAATTCTATCTATCTTGTTGTTCTCTAGTCAAATCGTAGCCAATACCTATTTTTTCATATTGCTGTTCTAATTTTGAACAGTATCGCAAATTTTCCATAATTTTGTTTTTAACATTTCTAGATTCAAAATAATTAACAAGGGTCTAGGAATTTCATTATTTTTACCCAACCTATAAAATTTTGAAATATCTGCATTTTTAATTTCTCCCCCCGTTATAGTTCCAAAAATGTTCATTATATTATCTCTTCAATCCTCGTATCAAGTTTTATTATTTTCTTCCAGTCTGAAAATAATAAATGTTATCTGATTTTTCTTCAATTTCTTAAATCGATTTAAACATATCCTTTATATTTGCATATCATTTTTTAAAGCAATTACATTGTCAGACAAGGTTTTGACATTATTACTTACTGCTTCGATATTTTTTTCATCATTTTCGTTGGCAATCTCTGTCCATGAGAATTTTATATCTTTTTTGAATTCCAACAGGGTGTTAATTTTATTATTTATTTTTATATCACTCAGTATACCATGTTATACCGTGGCTAGCTTC